AATGGAATTTTCTATTCAATATCACATGACCATAAACAGCCAATTAAACGATCAGAATTCAATAAGGTATTATATAATATAGTATAGTATAGTATAGTATAGTATAGTATAGTATAGTATAGTATAGTATAGTATAGTATAGTATAGTATAGTATAGTATAGTATAGTATAGTATAGTATAGTATAGTATAGTATAGTATAGTATAGTATAGTATAGTATAGTATAGTATAGTATAGTATAGTATAGTATAATATAGTATAGTATAGTATAGTATAGTATAGTATAGTATAGTATAGTATAGTATAGTATAGTATAGTATAGTATAGTATAGTATAGTATAGTATAGTATAGTATAGTATAGTATAGTATAGTATAGTATAGTATAGTATAGTATAGTATAGTATAGTATAGTATAGTAAGTGAATAAGTAAGTGAACCCAGCTAATTTTAGATTTCAGACAGTGGCATCACCTTGGATGTTGCTTCACTGATTGGCATACTCGGCCAATCTGACAACCAAATACCAGACCAAGGCTTTTTCACTCAAATCAATCTGGCTCTTGTTTTGGTTTCTATTAACACTGTGTCCACAATTATCATGCTGAAATATATTTTATCTTGTTACATTTCTACACATCCTATGTAGGACAATTTTGTCCTGCTTCTAACAATCATGAACTAACTGTACATGATAATTGTACTATTTTAAATAATTATGCCAGCCAGACATTAACAATTATTTAAAACACAAAACAACTAATTATTGATCCAAAAAAATATTATATGAAATTAAATGCATTTCATTGTGATATTAACACAAAGTATACCTTTATAGTGCTTAAAAGATTACAACAATATTTCTATTTCCATCTACAGTTTATACAAAAATATATGTCAACCTCGATGTTTTCCATCTACAGATATACAAAAATATATGTCAACTGACAACATGTACATTATTTGATGACAACTTTAATTTCCGGGTTAAGATTCTTTCAATTGTCCACAAAAGCTGTATTCTTAATCGTTTAGCCGCCTTTAGCGAGCGTATTAATATAAATTCACTAATTTTCATAATTCTTCACTCCATGCAATCCGCCATCTTGGATGACAAATCCTCCCCACGTGCATACCCTAGAGACGAAATCGCTGCGGCAAGCAAGATGCGCAGAACGGCTCAACCATGTCGGGGCGGTTAGCTCAGCAAGTAGCTCTCGTGTGCGGATAGTTTTCGTGAGGATTTCCATTTGACCTCTCGAGGCCTTGAGGAAATATATATGGGGATATTTGTTTGAGGATATTTGTTTCATATATATTATTTATTTATTCTCCTCTCGCCTTTCCGCCCGCGCGCCCGCAATCCTTGCTGTTATTTTCGTTGGAACGCCATGTAATATTATCGTTTTGTCAATTGTTTCGCCATATTTGAACAATAATAAACTATGTTGTTTATGTTCGTTCGAAGCAATGTTTGAAGCTATTCACTGTAAATGCAAGCTCTTATGATTTATACAAGTAAGTGCAATAATTTAAATATATTACGTTATGATGTTTTGTTCATATTACGTTTAATTAATATAATGTTTTATTCATATTCATAACACAGTTTTTAGTTGGACCCCTTGTTGATTATGATTGACAGGGTACATATATTGTGGGTATTAACTTATCAAGAAATTAAAATATCTTTGTAAAGAGCACGATTTTCTGCTCCTAGGAATTAAAAGCAATTTCTTAAACAGTTTCTTTATTCATAAAATTTATTTTTGTCAAGCTTTTATGCACTTGTGGGTTTAGCAGAGTGCTAAGGCATGCAAACCCCAATAACATGTACACGCCATCTCAACAGCTTTGGTCCCCTTCGGGCCATCCTGTATAACATATTTACTTAATAAATTTTAATATTATGTATGCACATTAATTTGAACATGCTTGTACCTCATCTTGAGGAATGTTTTCAAAGACGATGCATGGCGATGTGAAACTGGACGAATCGATTAAGAGACGAACACTGTTCAAAAAACATATACTAGTCGCAAAATGTTTTAAAATGTTCTTAAAAATAAACTGCTTTTATAGTTAAACGTTGAGTTTAAAATAAACTGATTTCAAATTCTCGCATGAAAATAACTTTGCTTTCCTCTTAATGTAAAGATTTTAATATAATAAAAAAGAGTACGAATAAAAATACACTGAAATTATAAGCTGCCTTTTTTCATTTATATACGCAAAGATCGTACCAGTTTTTAATTTAAAGCAATATATTATAAAGCAAACAAATACATCAAACAATACATCAATATTAGAAACAATTACCTCGTCGGCGTCTTTGCCGGCATCGCCGCATCCAGTTCTGCTGGAAAAGTGTTGTGACTCTTATCACCATAGTTCATGTAATTTGTGTGCATCATCGTTCATAATGAAATGATAAGATCTCTGACTTTCAAGCATTCACATACCCTTTTCTAGATATATACTTAATAATGTGAACAGTAACAAACGAGTATTCCTTCCACTCGTGAGCTCATTTACTATTGTCATATAGTAAATGTCCAGGCCTTGTGACCCTGGAAGGGCACTTAAAAGGAAGAAATACACGCACACAAAAAATGTAAAGATTTTATTCATACATTACATAATCGTCATCATTAATAGACAAACAACTGTAATTAATATGTATGCACGTTCGTTTAACATAATAATAATATGTATTATTATTATTAATATGTATGTTTGTTTGTTCGTTTGTTCACGTTCGTTCGTTCGTTCGTTCGTTTGAACGAACGTGCATACATATTAATTACCGTTGTTTGTCTATTAATGATGACGATTATGTAATGTATGAATAAAATCTTTACATTTTTTGTGTGCGTGTATTTCTTCCTTTTAAGTGCCCTTCCAGGGTCACAAGGCCTGGACATTTACTATATGACAATAGTAAATGAGCTCACGAGTGGAAGGAATACTCGTTTGTTACTGTTCACATTATTAAGTATATATCTAGAAAAGGGTATGTGAATGCTTGAAAGTCAGAGATCTTATCATTTCATTTTTATTCCTGGCTACCGACTTCGGTCCTTTTATTTTTTATTTTATCGTTCATAATGTTTAACAAGACCTTCTAATAATAAGGCATCTTCGTAAGATTCTGTTGGGTAGGTGATTCGCATTGCTCGCCTTTGAATAGTTTCGAGATCTCTCGAAAGATACGTAGGGAGACCATCGTGATACACTGGGCAAGCATACTCAATTAGAGATTTGATGCAAGATTTGAAAAATTGTACCAATTCCAAACAACCCACTTTGTCGCGCTTTAATTGAGTTAAAAAGTACAATCTCTTTGTTTACGGTTCAACAAGAAATCCCCAAGTAATGTACCGAACTGTTGTGAGTCAACTGTTTTAATACAGCTGGTTTTAGTAAACACCCAACTGCGTATTCCTCAGCGACTTTAGAGAGTACTGGTTTCAGAGAGATTGGTCTTAAGTCTTTATTTACTTAGGTATTGGTACAATATCTTCTTCTTTCCATGAGGGAGTTAAGCGAGACTCTAAGAATGAACAGTTAATAATCGACATTACTCGTCATGCAAAAATATATTCGTTCTCTTTTAAAATCCAGCAGGGAATACCATCTGGCCCAGTTCAATTAATATTTGGATTTAATGTTAACAATGTCTGAAAACTGATTGATCTGTAACGGTTAATGGGGGTTCATTATCGGTAGCAAGGTGGACGTTAGGAGATAGAGGAGAAATGTCACTCACTGTGATGAGGAATGCGTTGTTGATAGATTTGCAATATTAGCTAGAGTCGGTCGACTGGGTCACAAACTATATGTTGTAGAATTGAAACTGTACTGTCACGTGCATGTTACTGCTGACATCTCACTAAGTTTCTTGATTTCCTTAATATTATTTATTTACTGTCACATGTTACTGCTGACATCCCATTAAGTTTCTTTATTTATTTATTTACAACCTGAAGGGCCACGTTCTTTCGTGCCTCGTACCCAGGCGCTTTAAATAATTATAGTACATGAAGCATTCAGGTAGGCAGGCGACACGCGAAGGGGCTGTTGGGAAGGATGCGTGCTGGGGAGCGCCTGGCAGTTCTTGTATACTGTCATGGCGGGAAAACATGGAATTTAATACAAAACGTTACCATATGACCATATCGTCATATACTCTGTGTGTAAAACCTTATTTTCTGACGAAGAGTCGAATTGAACGCCATTGGCAAATAATAATAAAGTTGTAGATGTTTGTTGACATGCAAAATGCGCGAAAAATTATGAGTAAATTACATGGCAAGTTAACCGTGCGAATATTTCGAATATGTCATTCGGTATTACATGGAGAATATTATAGAATGCTATCAGTTGCTTAGTATAAAACAGTAACAGAGACATGATTAGAAAGTCATATAATTTCTTTTGTATTAATAACGCCTTTAGCTGAAGGCTCGATCAGTCGATCACAATGCCAATGGCAACTTCTATTAAATGTATACTGTAAACAAAAGCCCAAGTAAATAAAAGTTTTATATAGTTATAACTTACAAATCTAGCTCCTGCAAGTCTAGTTCTTCAACGCTTCGGTTGTTGACATGTTAATATTGCAATTTCCATGGACTTTAAATAAGGCATATGTCATATATACCAAGAATAGCGAGTTTACGATTGACGACGCGCTGCACGAAGACGCCGAAGGGGGACTAGAGACTAGCGCGGCCAAGTTGTCTTCAATGTTTCGTGCGGCGTCTTCCCGCCTTTCACGACGCTATTTTGAAAATTCTACGTCGTGCTGACAACGTAGCTTGTTTCAAGGTTAGTTATTGCTTTTCTTCTTTTTTAAATATCAAATTCGATAAGTATCATTCTTCTTCTGTTTATATGTGTGCCCTGGTTATTTAAAGAGGGAAGAAATGGAGCTAAAGAAAAGGGAGATGGCAATGAAAGAAAAAGAAGCAGAAAGGGCATGGGAAAGTTAAAGAACAAGAAATAAAAAGTAAAGAGATGGAAGCAAAAAAAAGAGATGAGGAGTTACGTGCCAGAAATGAAAGTAATATGATTGCTACATTACAACAACAGCTACAACAGCAACAAGGCATGTTTATGCAAATGCAGCAGCAAAATAAACTGTTACTGCAATTGTTAAATAACAATACAAAGAACGAAGATTTACATTGAAATTGTTTACAATGTATACTACAGTATATAATTATTTTCAATAATTTAATTATTTAATTACACCTTATTGTTGAACAATACCGTATACTGAAGATTAATGTACATGTTACATTAAATATTGTTTGGCCAAAACATTTTGCAGTTATTTGTATATTTAATAATTACAGTACCTACCGTAATCTCTCTATTAGCCTCTTGAGGGCTTAGTCTTTTCAGGCACATTTGCAGGGTGCTTATTAGAGAAGGGGGCTTATTTATCTATGGAATGAAGTTTTATTGAAATAAAACAATGTGTTAAACCAACCATTGTTGTATTTAAAGGGAGTGCTTAATAGGGGGGAGGGGGGGGGGGCTTAACAAATTTCTTCATCTAAAAGGGGATATTTAGGCCCGAGTTATGCAATACTGGATTCACATCAGAGCGACATCAAATTTTACTGCTTCGAGGTGGATTTGGCACCTAAAATTATGATAATATAAGTATATAACATAATTAAACAAAAACTTCATGTATGAAAAGTTGTAATAGCAGACAAGACTGGAAAACACCTTAATTGATGTCGCTCCAATATGAATCCGATATTGTGTAACGGGGCTTTATTTGAGAGGGGCTTTATTTGAGAGGGGCTTAATAAAGAAATTACGGATAATAAAATTGCAGTGTTCTTGCAATAATGATCCATGTCCATAACAATTTTCTTACTGTAAGTACTCATTGAAGTTTGGTGGAGCAATCTCAAAGTATGCAGATGTTGTGTTCCCATACGGGCATGTAAGAGCATTTCTTAGAAGAGCACATACCACATAAAATTTGCCAACAGCACTTAGTCCAATTTTGAGGGTTTTTTTTTTAAGTCAATGAACTTAAAATAGTTTGCTATGTCCCCAAAAACCCATTCAACGAATACTCTAACTGTGCTCATTGAGCGATTGAACTCTTGCTGGTTTAAGGTTAACGCACCCCGCCTTAAAAAGGGACGCTGGAGGTGAACTCGATGGGGATAAGCTGGATCACCATACAAACAGAGTACTTCACCAGTAGGCGAATAAGAGTGCTCTTGAAGCTTCTTTAAAAGACCAGACATTGTAAGCATTCTGCTGTCATGTCTTTTTCCTTCAACTGGACCATACAAATTAGCTATTAATCCATTTGGTGCCACAACAGACTGATACTTTAAAGCATGTACTCGCTTGTGGCATGACTCATTGTAAACGTCTTTTTGATTCCGCTTTGGTCGACAAATTGGCCTAACCGTTCCATCAACAAATCCCCAGCAATTGTCAAGTGCAGCACCTTTATTATGTATCGCAGTCCCATACAGTTGTAGGTTTTCTGGAGACAACCACGGTTGGTCAAGGTCTTGAAACAGGTGTGAGTACCTCTCATATAGGTCATCAACTACAGTGTTGGTAATCATACACAGTTGTGGTACAGGCCGACCATTATAGCACCGGTAAACTTCTGGTAGTTTCAAGGAAAAAGCCAAATTGTAAGTATCATTTTTCTTGAAACGCATTTCAACTTCACACTCGTCGTCTCTCATATCCTCAAGGCTAAATTTTTCGTACTTCCAGTACGGAAAACCAATGTGTAAGTTACTGTGTTCGTTTTCTTCTAGCAACAACAATAATTCCTCATCATCAATCATATTTTCATCATACATCATAAAAAGTTGTTCCGCCATTTTGAATCAAAATAAATGTGCGTCGTGGTTTGGTCGTCGTGATTCGTAACTTAAAATATTCGAGAAGAGTGCGACGCTCCGACCGCGCTCGTTACCAGTTTTCTCTACTGCGTCTTCGTGCAGCGGGTCGTCAATCGTAAACTCGCTGATAACAGCGTGAATTCATACCCAGATAACAGAAGAATATTAACATTAGTCAATTCAACAAAAACAAGTAGCAAACTAGAGGGCACTCAGAGACTGCATACCTCCGCCCGTTACTCGGAAGTGAAACGCAACCTTGGAATTTCCTAAGAAATCCACTTTATAATTCTTAAACATAAAAGATTTCAGGCCCCCGCGAATTGAAATCGAATTGCTAATAGAACATATTACTGTTGTTGTACTGTACAGTACTTGTAAAATAAAAACTTTTTAAGTGTCATTAAATAAATGCACAAATTTTGCTTTATGCACTCGCGCGTGCAGTAATTTTCACAGTTGTGCTATTTTAAATTCCCAGGCAGCTAAAATCTTTTGTCTTTAAAACAATGTCGATTTCTTGGGAAATTCCGAGGTTGCGTTCTTTTTATACACCCTGTATTGAAGTAATCTAATGTTGTTAGAATTTGAATGGACTGGCACTTTGCAGAACGTAATAATGCGTAACTCCGTAAGCCTTGTTTTAGACATTGAATTTCGGTCGCGTGAAATGCAACTAAGACAATAGATAATGAAGGCCGAAGCTTAATGAGGTTTATCATCTCATTACTGTCTTAGCACTGAGTGCATAAATTATACACGTCCTAATTACGCATTCAGTAATATATTTTGTTAATTGACCGGGAAAAGCAAGACAAAATTTTGTTCATTTCTCGTTCAATTTTTAACCAAATTCAACCAAATTTTAATCAGTTCTTCCTTAGCCGATGGGAAATGCATTCAAAAAATTTCGTACGGATATGTTTGGTATTTCTTGAGTTATCGTGCTCACAGACAAACACACACACATACACACACACACACATACACACACACACACATACACACACACATACACACACACACACACACATACAAACCCAGATGATTACATAACCTCCTGGCGGAGGTAAAAACCCAGATGATTACATAACCTCCTGGCGGAGGTAAAAACCCAGATGATTACATAACCTCCTGGCGGAGGTAACAAACCCAGATGATTACATAACCTCCTGGCGGAGGTAAAAATCGTAAACGACAATGAAATATCAGAACTTGCGAGAAATCGACTTTCTTGCAAAAAATTGACCAAGAACTGACAGGCGTCTCGAATTTCAAGTGCACTCTTCACATCAGCCCCTTCGCTATCTCTCCCCACTACAATACTTCATGTAAACTCGTCATATGCGCATCACTGTTATAAATGACCGTCGTGGTGGGGGAATTTTCTGTTATGTAAAATATTATATTAATTGCATTCATTTAACAGAGTTGGAGAATGATGATTTTGAAGTATTGTGGGTTTTATTCAGACCTAATCGCCTGCCTCGTGGAGTTAATTCCATTGTTGTTGGAGTTTATCACCCCCCTGGATATGATAATAAAGATCTAATGAGTTATATCTAATCAACTTTAGATAGTATCCTTGACTTCTCTCCTAATGCGTCTATTATTCTGACTGGAGATTTTAATCTTTTTAACTATCGAGATTTGTATTCCTCATTTAACCTACTAGAAAATACATGCATGCAGAAACCCTCGCCTTGCTGACAAAACCATTGTATTTTCCGAACATGAAGTATCTAAAGTAGTTGTCATGGTAACACGATAATTTTTTTAGAATATTCTTACAAATGAAAAATCGCCTTAAAATATCACTTTTAATTACAAAATTATCAATTTCCCAGACATATATACGTTAGGTATGTTATTATACGTAATATAAGCTTCAATTTAAGGTAAAATTTAACCACAAACGCTTCGCAAAACGTTTTAAAATGTTCTTTATAAAACTAAACTGCCTTTAATTAAATGGCTTTATCAATAAACTTTGAGTTTGCAATAAAATGATTTCAAATTCTCGCATACAAATAACTTTGCTTTCTTTTTTTTAAAAAATTGAACATAATAAAAAAGGAAATCAATATTAAAAGATACACTGAAGTCTGAAATTAAAGGTAGGTTACAGTCCCTTCTGCGCATGCGCGGGCTTTGTTTACGTTTTTTTGTTTTGATCCACATTAATTATATAAGATGAAGTATATGACGAGTTCAAAGTAACATTCCACATAATTTGTGACCGAGGAGTGCAATGTTTGACAATACTTCGCTTCATTTCTTGTACATTTCTACACTGGAAATTTTTTAACACAATAACACAATCTTATACTGTAACCGTTTAACTGTAAACATCGTGAATAAAGTTATAAAGAGGCCGCTTTGAACGTTGTGTGACTTGCTATATCAACAGCTGGGGCGGTGAACCGAAATCCCGAAGGTGTGAGTTCGAATAATTTGTGTTTACCTTTGGAGTGTCTCATCATGAACTATATTTAATGCGGTATCAATCCCTCGAAACATGTTGCCAGTGTTGTTGTTGTCATTATGACAGAAGCGCTTGGCCTTGGGGAAAGCTTTTGGCTTGACGAAATTCGAAACAAGTGTGATTGAGAATATGGTTCAGTGGTTGCAGTTCCTGTCTTCGTGGCAAAGCCAAGGGCGAAATTTTTGACCGTGCAAAAGCTGGATAAACAGCTTTTGTTCAAGCTCGTGCGCGCTATGGAGACGATTTCGTTATAAACAACAAAAGAGTTCAATAGGTTGACAGTGACGAGAGTACGAGACGCTAAGATTATATTCAAATTTTTTTGTGTTATAAATATGTATGTTTAACTTTTGAAATTATGAACTGGAAGTATGAATTCATTGATATTACTCTCATATTGACACTAAATGATGATATTCTTGTGAAACTGTATTATCTAATAGTAATATTAACTTAAACAATTCTGGTCAATCTAGTGATCACGTTAGTTCATGAAAGTACTGAATATACTAAATATAATTACAGTTTGTGACATGAATTCAGGTAAGCACCATTCACATAAGAACCTATTTAGGCTAACTTGGAAAAAATCTAGGTTCTTATTATATGCAGGGTTTTACTGTGTTGTTTGATTTCATGTCACAAAACAGGCCATGGGCATGGCAGCTTGTTCTGACAATATATATATGGGATGGTGCCACTCTTTGTGACACAAGATCAGGGAATCATAGTACAATATGAACTGGCTTGTGTTTCAGATTGCTTTGTGTAGGAGGCAATCCATCTAGGAGAAAGAAAGCTCGGATTTTCATTGATCAGTGTTCATTGATCAGTGTTCTGGATCATTTTCATTACTTTGTGAAGAGTTTATTTTCTTTGATTTATATACATTTTTAGATTTGATTTGTCTTCATGTGATAAAATAAGAACATGAAATGCTAGCCTAAACAAATTCTTATTTAGGGTGTCTATTTGACTAAATAAAAAATTTAGCCTGACAGGTTCTTAAATTGTAGGTTCTTATATGCAAGCTTTTAGTCACAATTAGGGTGTAAAAATATATTAGTAATTATTTGAGTTTGTTTACATCATATAAGTTTCTGTGATCAAAATGTTTTATAAACTAAATGTCTTAGGCGGTGTTTATATGGAGGCGAGCCAGCCCGTTTACCTGAGCTAATTTAATTTAATTTTTAAACGTCAATTTTTAAACCTTACACCAAACTGGTGTGTTTAGTTAATCCAACTACGAATCAAATTTTATAATCGCTGACTTTTTAACAGCTATCAGTACCGAAAAATTCTTACTTTTGCTGAATTAACGTCGGCAAAAATTTGTCGGCCTGGGAGGTTGACATGTCGGCATTTAGGTCGGCATTGCCGAATGCGGTTTCGAGGACTGTAAACTGCTTTGATTAAAATATACTTTGATCAGAGAAACTTTTTATGTGTTTCTATTAAGTGAGCACAAGTTGTCCATGAGAAGACAGTCAAAGAAAGTAAAGCACGGTCAAGTAGATTAATTTATATCATTTATCACTGACAAGAAACACTGTATAAATAGCCATCCAAAACATGTTGACTCCAAATTGCTCATTAACACTCTTTCATTGACAACTCCTACTCACAAGTATCATATCTTTAGGCCTTAATTATATGGGTTTCAGTTTGTAAATAAAGGAGATAGAACAGTTCGTATGTAACGATAGTGTATAATTAAAATTTAAAATAGTAAATAAAGAGAATTTTATAGTCATTAAAACCTCGATTGATGGGCTTCAACAAGCGATTTCACTGAAGTATCCACAGTGAAGGGAGTGAATAGCAGCTATGTTGGGTGAAATGTCCAATCCTTCTTGGATTCTTTTCTTGAAAACCTTTAGTAGAAGATTGAGGATGTAGGTATATCATGGAGAAACGCAGACAGAAATGGCACGCTCTCCATCGAGGAAAACAATAAAATAGATACACTTTGATACACTTTGGAAGCATCCCTGCTAGCGTTGTATTCTTTCCTACTAGTCATGTTGCCTCAAAAACTCTTTATTTGAAGGATTGTCGCTCAAAAAAGTTCAATATAGTTTGGAAACTTCTAGCTTCACTCCTTCGCTTGCGAAAAAAACAACGCGCGTGTTATTGCCAGAAATGAGACTGGACCGAGTATAAACCGAGATGCCCAACTTCCGGTGGAGTCCCCAGGCAAAAACAATCACAGACATGCGCAGAAGGGACTGTAACCTACCTTTAATATACATGCTATCTTGTTTAGTTGTTTCAAAAACGCAAAGCCAAAGGACGTCGGGTTTTAAAACAATTATAAAATCAATATTTAAAACAATCTTACCTTTGTTAACGTCGGCTCCATTCTTTTAGCCGCTTCTTTCGGCCTTTCTTTCTTGAAATTTGCAAAATCTTGCAAAAATGCGAGCAAAAATGAGATATATTTGCAAGAAATCTATCAATCATCAAATCAAGAAATGTTTGCTATTTCGCTGTCGTCATTCAGTCGTTATAATGCAAACTTTAAATTCGACCAATCAATGTCTGCTATTCATGACAGTCCGCCATATTTTTGAGATCAGTGAGGATGACCACCCACGCACAGTGACCCACGCCCGCGATATTTGATAAACTTTAGACTTCGCTAATGCTTTTGTTTCCCCGGGTGTAAATAGCCGGGGGGAATTAATACCCTCGCACGGCGCTTCGCGCCGTCGGTTCGGCGACAACAACTTGTTAAAGTACCGACAAGAGGTCAAAATATACTTGACCTGGTCTAACCAATCTCCATAAATACCATAATCAACCTGAAACCTTACTTCCAATTGGCCACAATGTAATACTTCTATCTCCCAAGACAACTAGACAAAAGGGAAAGAAATCAAAAGTGCTTGTGCGTGATACCTGCGGTGCCAAAAGACACTTGTTCTTGGAAAAATTAAAAAACGTGAACTTTACTCCAGTTTTGTATCAACCATCGTGTCAACAGAGGTATGAACTTTTTTACTGTATCTTGAATGACGTCATTGATAAACGGGAGTTATCTGTCCAACCTACTATCACTGAAGTATCGGATAAATACAGAGTTACTGTGGATGGAGTTAGACTGGAATTATCTCGGGTTAACCCACGTAAAGCTGCAGGCCCTGATAATTTTCCAAACTGGATCTTGAAGGACTTTTCAGATATTTTAAGTCTGCCGCTCTGTTCCATTTTTAATGCGCCCATTGAAAAAGCCTACTTACCAACAATATGGAAATCAGCTGACGTCATTCCTTCCCCTAAAACAACCCCAGTTAAGGACGCCGCCACTGATCTAAGACCAATTTCATTAACGCCAGTAATGAGCAAGATTGGGGAATCCTTTATTTATAAGTGGTTGTTAGAGGCAATTGAAAATAGAATAGACCCAAACCAATTTGGTGCAATAAAGAACTCATGCACCACGGACGCCTTGAATACACAAATGATTTCAAGCTTTTGTTGAAACTGGATCATTAGTTCGAGTATGCTTACTAGATTTCTCTAAAGCATTTGACAAAATTAACGATAATTAATAAATAAGCAGGGCCGCCGAGAGGTTGGCGGGAGCCCGGGACAAATTTTTTTGAGGCCCCTATCAAAAAAAAATTTCCGGAAAAAATTTTTCCCGGAAAATTAAAACAACCTCCCCTCCGTCGCCAAAAAATTTTCGGTCAGTGTGCCATTTTAGGGGTGAAAAATTTTTTCAGGAGTAAAAATTTTTCCAGACGAGTACGTTGCAATTGCATATCTCATTTTTTTATGCCAAATTTCGGTACTTAGCCCAAGAAAACAGATATCTGAACCTTTGCGCGGAAATATTTAACACACAAAAAAGACTGGAGCCCAACAAAAATTTTTCAGGGGCCTCCAGCACCTATGGGCCCGAGGCAATTTGCTTCCCCCCCTGCCCCCCTTTCTGCGGCCCTGTAAATAAGTTGAGGGACATGAATATTCATACTGTATTGGTCAACTGCATCATTGCATTCTTATCTGGTCGTTGTCAACGTGTGAAGGAGGATGTACATCTTGTTGGATTGATGTCAAGGCGGGTGTACCAAGGAACTAAGCTGGGTCCACTACTATTCCCGATTTTGATTAACGATTTCAAACCAACCAATGACATTACAAAATTTGTTGATGATTCTTCAATCGTTGAGGTTGTGTTGCAGAATACAATATCTAAACTAGACCAAACTTTATCTAAAACCAGCGAGTGGGTTGATCGTAACTACATCATGGAATTAAATGGGAAAAAAAACAAAGGAATTAAGGATTACATTTTCAGACCATAATTTTGATCTTGGTAATCAGTTATTGGTAATCAGTTATTGATTAACAACGAGCCTGTAAGAGTTGTCAGTAAGGCCAAACTTTTGGGTATTACCCTCTCAAATGATTTAAAATGGAATGATCATATTCAAGATATCTGTTCCAAAGCTCAGTAAACGCTTATATTTTCTAAGAATCATACGACGAGCGGGTTTTGATGTTGTAGACTTAATAAAAGTTTATTGCTGTTACAATCGACGAGTTTTGGAATATAATAGAAACCCTATGTTGTAAATATTTTAACCGTGTAAATAAGCCAAGCAATCGCCTTTTTAATCTTTTACAAATTAGTAGTGAAAATCAATATAACTTGCGCAATGATCGCCTTCCTTCTATTAAGGCTAAAACTGAACGGTTTATAGAAATAGTTTTATCCCATATGCAATTAGAACTTATTCGTATTTTTAGCAATGATATATCTAAATACATTATCTATCTCAGTATCTATGTATAAATGCAGGGAGCCTGCTTAATTAAACATTTTTTCGTCATCAAAAATGAAAAATCTTGACAAACAACGCGTTTTTCGACACACAATTGGTCCTTCCCTTTCCTATATGTTATCTTGTCTTTGTGCATTTTATATAGTGTCAAAAATGTCAATAGCTCAGGCCTTAAGGCTGCTTTACAGTCAAGCGTTTTTCATACGTGCGGTGTACGCACGGAAATGTTTCAATCTTTCAAAATTTTATGACATATAGCTGCAAAATACCTGAACACTTTAATCAAGGATGCACAAAACTAAATGCTGTATATACATTCAATTTTTCATCAGTAACATTTAAAAGGGTTAAACTTGTCCGGGCATACATGCACGCACGTAAAACAGCCTTAACATGCAATGACATGAAAATGATGAATATAGAGAGCATTTGTCTGTGCTGAATATGCTTTAGTTGAGATAAATTAAAACTCGGTTTTGTGATACAGTAAACTGAACTCTGAGCCACCTTAAACTTGCCCGTGCATGAGTACACGCACGTATGTAAAACGCTTAACTGGAAAACATCCTTAACAATGGCAATGAAAATTGTCATTATAGAAACTATTATTTAACTGCACATAATAATTATGCTTTACTTGAAATAAATAAAAACTCAATTTTTGTCAGTGATCCTGCAAACTGAACTCTTTACTCTTCAGTGAATTTTGAAGGCGCGTACTACTCATTAAAGAAAACATTTGCCCGAATTTTACTCAGTCTGAACTAAAATATACAATATTATATTTTTCACTGTATAGGTGCAAGCAATGATCTAAAGCTAGCCATCTGTGCACACTCAGTCAGAACTTTGACAGTTCACGACATATATTTAAGCCCGTTTCAAGTAGTTACTGAAAGACATGCAGTTATGCAAATTCAGCATGCAAACTTTATTTCGGCTCTGAAGTGTTTGTCATTTTCGTCGTTCTCAAAAGACGCAGTGGCATATTTAAAATTTTAATTAAACTGACATTTTTGTCTTTATGTTACTCCAAAAATAATATACCATGCCCACTATAAGACCGGTATATTGCGTTTTTTTGACTAATAACGCGTAATTGCGTAATAAGTGTACAAGTTGCACGGGCAGGTTGGACAGGTAAAAATGGTGAAAAGTTTCAGTATCATAATTTCACAATTTATGTAATTACGAATTTTTGCAACAATACACCAAGTAAGATATGAGTTTAATGTTGATTTTATTTACAATGTATAAGCGGGTTTACACCAGATCAGTACGTGTATCTTAAAATGGTCTAGTGTAATTATACACCAGTTTCAATGTAGATTTACACTAAGTAAGCATTTATATTTTTTATACCACACCGGTGTATATTTACACTATCGTGGACTCATGGTGTTATCCCATACACAAGAATTGGGTAAATTTACACTTGTTAAGGGTACATTTACACTGCAATAATAGTTAATACATTAGTTTCTACTTCACCGCAGCTCAGTGTACTTTAACGCATTCTAGGTGTAAAGATACACCAAGAAAAGTGTAAATTTACACTTCGCAAGTGTTGGCATATTTTACACTGAATAAGTGTATATATATTTACACTATCGCAAGGTGTAAATTAACAGGGAAAAGAGGTCATGTTACACCGTTATAATGTATATCTACATCGAATTAGGTGTAAATAGTATATTTTCTACTTTACACAAGTGTTACCGAGACACTAAAATAGTGTAAAGCTACACTGTGGAAGTGTAATGTACGTTACACTCGAACGGTGTTTAATTCCGCGTTACACCTAATTAGTGTAACGTTACACCTTTTTTGTGTTGCCGCAACACCGCAAGATTTACAGTCTACCGCTGGATCAACCTATACATAACAGAGTTATCTGTTAGGGGATAACTGTGTTGTGTGTAGGTTTTTCATATGTAGGTTTTTCATATGTAGGTTTTTCATATGTTTTTTTTGTGCATGATTTTCATATGTAGCTGTAAGCTACTGGCCAATCAGAAGACACATAGTGACTATAAATTTTAATTTGTGATACTGTAAACTGACCTCTTCAGTGAATTTTCAAGGTGTATATTACTCATTAAATTCATTTGCACGAATTTTACTCTAAATTTAAAATTAATGTACAATATTATATTTTTCGCAGCATAGATGTGAGCAATGAGCCAAAGCTAGCCACATATCCGCACTCAATCAGAAATTTGACAATTCCCGACATATTTTTAAGCTCGTTTCAAGTAGTTAATGACCGTTATTACAAACTCAGCATGCCGTTAACTTTATTCCAACTCTGAAGCGTTTGTCGTCTTCGTCGTTCTCAAAGACATCCAGTAGCATATTTCAAACTTTAAACTCACATCCTTTTCTTTATAGTTCTCAAAATACAACCATGACAAACAATTCAATGCATTTCCCTACAGTACCTAGGGAAATTCTTCTTCCATCGATTGTATTTAAATTCATCGCAATGATTATTGGAGTTTTGGGAAATATCACAATTTTAATTTATACAATTTTTATCAGCAAAGAAAAGACAGCGACATCTTACTTGGTAGGAAACTTGGCACTGGCAGATCTTCTCGTGTGTTTAACACTTTATCCAATATGCATCATTGAATTGATACAGACTATATTAAACATTGATAGTAATCAGGATGTGTTTTGTAAGTTAAGTCGTTCTACCATCTGGGCATTTCTGTTTGCTTCCATGGCTGCACTTCTCGCAATAACTGTTGATCGTTATTTATATATTGTAAAACCTCTGATGTATCCGCTGATTGTGACCAAACGACGAGTTTTTCTAGCTATTTCAGGAATTTGGCTGACTACGTGCTGTCTTTTAATTGTTTTACTGGTTAGTTATAGATATGACTTCAAAATAAGGAGCTTCTGCCACAATAAAAATAGTAATATATATCATCATTTGATTCATAGTTTCATTACCGAGTTGCCACTTACTTTAATAACGACTATTAATATCCGTATTTTAATTGTTGCGAAGAAACAGCGAAAACGTATCTTGGCTGAAACAGCGCTACCCGTTACAACTTCCAATGGACAACCTGCAAACAAAATGTCGGCTATACATCGATTTTTTCGCGCTCATAAAGCAGTTAAGACATTTTCTATTGTGGCGACAGTGTTGTTTTTTTGTGTCCTCACTCCAACTGTGGTTGGAATAGTCCTACACTATTCCTGTAGCGAGTCATGCAAACAGATGTGGTACGTAGTTTTTCACTATGAATTTTTTGGAATAAATTCAATCGTCAATGCTTTCTATCTATGGAATGAGACATGTGAAATATAGAAAAGGTTATCAACATATTATTTTTAAAATACTTGGCTGTAAGAAACTCACAAACTGATCGAGGATTCTGCCTCATAACGGACAAAATTCAACCTCTTCAGTATTTATGGCGCGGCGCTTGTGAAAATAATTAAGAACAAGCAATAATATGTAGATGAACTTGTCTGCCTGCAAACGGCTGGAACTCAATGGAGCAAGTTAAATTATCGATGATTACTGCAATTCTAAAATAAATAATCAAAATAGAAATTTTTGTTCGGAATCCTGAGCATACAGTACTTCAACTACATCGGTAGCCTGCATGGCAGGCGGTACGTAGGAAATACCGCCTGCCGCAAAACTGGGTGTAAATGAACTACCGCCCCTGAAGCATCAAAGCTATTTATAGATGTCATTAAGTAAATATTCAAAATTAGCCACTCCCAAGTTGCTCCCAAGTCCCAACTGCCCAACATAAAATAAATTCCTTGATTCTCATCACCGCCCGACTGAATTTTAAAATCCTCGTGAAATGTTTTATATTTTGTTATACAATATAAATGTACCGCCCGACAAAATAATTCAAGACAGTTAATTTTTTTATATTTTATATAGGGTTTTTATTGCCATTTTAAACTTCCAATTTGAAACAAACAGAATTTTGAATGAAATTTCATTGTATTTTAAAGAAATTCAGTCATTCTGTCATTGTTCGTGGAGATACGAACTATTGATATATAAATTATATAAATATAAAATATAAAAAATAAACCTCCCACTGTCTTCGACATTTCAAAGTGTAGACTGTGTCTAGTGATGAGAATCAAGGAATTTATTTTATGTGTTAATATAAACCAAGCCCGTTTAGCTGCCTTAAAACGGTGGTTTAATAAGGTCAAAATACAAAGCATGCAAGTCTACTATAGATTCATCATCAGTCAACAACCAAACTGAAAGTTTTGAACCTTATAGAACGATAGTTTTTACTTTGGAGTCTTTGGAGGTTCGTATATCTATCAAGTATCTTTGGTTCAGAACATGACGGGCCTATATGAAAATCCCACCGTTCGATTCAGTGAAGAAATATCTCCTAATTTCTATCGATAGTTTTAGTAAAATGTCAACATTATTGCGATTTATGGTCTTTGAAAGTCAAGCGAGATCGTATATTATCAAATTAATACGCATGTAATTGTCTCATTTTATTAACTATGTC